CCTCGTCCACTAGATGGAGTGACATTTTTGATGTTCGCTCCAACTTCGGAAGAGGAATGAAATACTCTGAAAGAATTCCGATTTTCAATTGTGGAATATCATTGACTTTAGGTCGATGATGGTCACTATCTTGCACTGATGAGTGGCTAATAAGCCCGAAACCGGTCTGCAAGTGTACCCGTTCCATAATTGAAGGTCGACTCTTTCAGTTGTATTGCCAAATGCATTTCGGTCTCGTGAAAGTTTCGAGTCGCACCGTAAATAAATATCGCTTCAATTTTTTCTTCCAATGGAGGAGACTTGACCATTTTAGATGACCATTAGAGATTGTTGACGTGGTACCTTTCTACTAGTAAAACTGAAAACTAAATGAGAATATTCCAACTGTTAGGAATCACACGTTAAAAGGCAAGACCTCGTTAGTCCTTAGCTCGCACAAGTTTCTCAATTTCTGAGAGTCATTCGCATGGGGGCGACAGCTGATAATTTTTTCCCATCTTGAAAGTTTCATCCGTCAATTTCACTTCAAAATAAAATATTCATGCCTTAATGTCATTATCCCAAATTTCAATTTTTTGAGAAATGCACTGTAGATACCGATTAGAATATTCCAGCCGAGTGAAGTGTCACCCGTGAAAGAAGGGTACTTTCAAATGACTCCGTAATATTGAAAATTATTACAAAATCATCCGCAAACACTTGAAATATCGTCGAACAAGACACATTTCCTAAACGACCATATTCCGCGATAAAACATAATAATAATCCGTTTTACTCGAGCCGTAATAAAGGAGAATTTCAGACGTGCGTGCGACAAACAGGAAGTGGCATGCATTTAGGGGACCCCTTTCAGAATGTATAAAACACACGGAACGTCCCCCATCCAAGTACGTGTACGTACACGGCCGCCGGTTAATTTTTGCTACCCCCTCGATTGTTGTTACCCTTATCGTTCGTCGATCAGGTACATGTAAATAATAGACATGTTTTTATTGAACGCAGCTGCCAGAGGCGTTCCGAATGGGGAGGCGAACATTTCCGAATGTCTATCGATGTACAAGAGCCTTCGTCAGTGGGGTAGCTTGAAGAGTGTTTGAAGGGGGTTTATACTGAATTTTTAATGGTAAATTTGTTTTGATTTCCAACTCGTTATTTTTTTTTTAAGGACAAAACACAAGCACGATTTTGTTCAGGTATAATCTAAGTAAACTATATTGTGCACACTTAAAGTTGGCGGCACTTTCAAAGGCCAAAAAACCAATACATGGAAATGAACCGGCTGCGAACTAGTCCAAGTGGACTGTAGAATTGGCGGTTCGTATTGGATAATTTTTGCAAACCGAGTTTTGTGATTGGCTGAAGAGTCATAAAATTGAATTCAAAGTCATGTTACGGTCAGATATCTGGAATGCGGGGATGGTTATCGCCGTCGTGTTCAGTTCAGGAACTGATCGCGATTTGAGTTTTGAAATTCGATATTGTTGCAGTTAAAATAACTTAAGATTTTTGTAATCTGTTTAAAATGTGGCATCCTTGGAGAAGTAATAATAAGTGTGATAACAACGCAGAATTTTTCCAGTGTAGTGATTCCAATAGCGATGGTGAACAATGCGAAAGAGATACCAGTGAATAAGATTCGGATGCATTTGAATATTGAAACACAGAGAGTATGTTTCAATGTATATAAGAATCTACATCTCAAGTTTGGTTTCGAGGGAAACAAACCATTACAAGCAACAT